TTGATCCCTGGCATGCTGTGCCGGCCCCATACCCAGGGCGCACTGAGACAGTGATTGAGACTGAGCATGGTGGCATGTGCCTGTAATCCCAGTGCTTGGGAAGCTGAAAACAAGAGAATCATTACATGTCTGATCTACATAGTCAGACCCTGTACACCCTGTAGACACTGTACTAAAATACATACAAAAACAAAACAAAAAAAACCCTAATGTTTGGATTATTCATTTGGTTAAAAGGATCACAGTGCTGTAATTATTTCATCACATCATTTATTGCTCATTAAATTATTCAAACAGTATTAACTGAATATATACTCTACATAAAGTATCAAGCAAAGTGCTAGGAATACAGCAGTGAATAAATTGGATAGTCTCTGACTTCATAGATGCCACAGTGGTGGAAAAAAAACTGTATTTGTTTTGTTTTTTTTTTTTGTGGTGCTGGGATCAAACCCAGAACCTTGTGTATACTAGGGAGATTCTATCACTGAGCCACACCCCAAGCCCAGAAAAAACAGACTTTAAGCAAGAGACTAAAAATAAAATTCTGGAATATTCTTTTTGGAAAAGGAAAATAATGGTCAGGTATCAAAAGCAATCTAGAGTCTAGTCACTTCCTGTCAGAAAACTATGTTTAATCTGGACCAAAAGGATGAATTAGCCACACAAGGGGCCTGAATGGATGAAGGACTCTTCAAAAGCCACGTAGGTGGCCACAGACAAAGTCCATTAAGCTGGATCCTTGAGAAAAAGGGGGCTGGAGGTAGGAGCAGCAGAAGTAAATCTATGGGAAAGAAGTGAGCACTAACGTCCTTGAAGATAGTTCAGGGATTTTAGATATGAAGTGATGGGATCCGGTTGGTATCTTTAACTTCTGTTACATGTCTCAAATGAGCAAAACAAAGTACAGAAGCCTCTGAAACAATAGCACAGGTGGGAGAGTGACGGCCAGAACAGAATGCTACCAAGAGAACACAAAGATAGAAACAGAGAGAAAATTCCGCAACCTCAGGAGCCAGACACCTTGCGACTCACTGCTCAGTGAAGTTAGGCAAGTTATTTAACTTCATAACACAGGAAACTTCATCTGTAAACAGTACCCAAAAGAAGACTTGCATGAAAACTTAGTAAGACAGCTCATGTAAAATACACTCAAACAGGACCTCCCTCACAGTCAAGGCTTAATAAATCCTCAACATTTTTTAAGAGGCAGTATTGGTAGGATTTGGTTATTAATTTGAGAGACAAATTTTCAAGAAGAATTTGGTAATACTGTCTAGACTTGTACAGGAAGCTTAATGATCCAAATGAATAGAAAACTTCTTAAGTAAAAGATCTGTTGCAAACTCATAAAATTACTCTGGTAATTTGATTATTGCTTCTTCCAAGTTTTTAGTAATACCACATTTTTAAAATTCTATTTTTAAATTTCTTGATCATTTTAACAGATAAGAAAGGGGTAAGTGAGTAGACTGTGATAAAGGCTGCCATATTGCACAGACGTTTTCTATTTGGGAATTCTAACACTTTTTTTTTCTCTAAATCAGAAAACTGGAAGGCAGTATTCCAAAAGATTCCAATTAAAAACTTTCTTAAATGGTATTTTAGGTGTAAAACTTTAGCTGAAAATTTGTGACATAAAGACTATCCTTAAAATACTCAATTGTTTTATTTCAAATTTTAGCTCCTCCCTCTCTCCTCCTTTCCTTTTTGTGTGTTGAGGATTAAACTCAGAGCCCTGCACATGCTAGGCAAACACTCTAATCACTGAATTACTAACCCAGACTTTTAATGTTTTTTATTTTGAGACAAGATCTCACTAAGTTGCCACCACAGGATGGAGGAGCTTGTGGTCCTCCTGGCTCTTGCTTCTTGGGTAGCTGGGGTTATAAGCATGTGCCACCACACCCAATTGCTGGCTGCTACTTTCAAAACATTAATTTCATAATGTTGTTAGTAAATTTTGAAATTCATAACCATTTTTGGCATAATGTGCTGAGCACTGTAAAGTACTTTATATGTATTAACATATTTTTTGAGGTTATAAAGAAAATATAAAATACTGTCCCCAAGAAAGATGCCAAAAGAAAAAAAGAAAACTACACTTCATCTGACTTAAAATTTCTGTACTTCAAAGAGACAATTAAGAAAGTAAGGGCCAGCCAAATAGCTCAGGCTGGGGAATCCCCAGGCCTGCCATGCTGGCCCCGCCCCTAGGGCCAGCAGAGATGGCAATTAAGACTGGGCGTGGTGGCCCAGCACTTGGGAGGCTGTAAACAGGAGGATCACTATAAGTCTGATCTACGCAGTGAGACTCTGTACACCCTGTCCTAAATATATATAAAAAAAGTAAAAGTTAAAAAAGAAAAGTAAAAGGAAGACCACAGAGATTTACATATTGTACACCTAATAAGGGGCTGATCATATAAGAATATATAAAGAACTCTTACAAGTCAATAATAATCAGGTAAATAACCCAATATAAAAATGGGCAAATGATTAGATTTCTCAACCTCCCCAAACAAAACAAAACAAAGATATAAAATGGGCAAAAGACACACAAAAAGATGCTCAACATCATTAGCTACTTGGGAAATGCAGTCAAAACAGTAAGAATATCTCACACCTGCCAGAATAAATGACTGAAAAAAACAGGTAACAATAAGTATTTGGTAAGGATGTGATAAAATTAGAACCAGTAGTCATGGCTGGTGGGAACACAGAAAGGTATGGTCAAATGTGGAAAAGAGCCTGGCCTCAGAGGTTACAGTCAGACTTGGGTATATGACCCAGAGTTACCAGCTATCTACCCAAGAGAAATGAAAATATCCACAGAAGCTATACACAAACATTCATACAGATATTATTCAAGAATGAACCTTGAAAACCTTATAATAAAAGAGAAGCCAGACATAAAAATCACATGTTCGAATTGAGGAATTAGCTCGGCACTGGAGGGCTTGCCTCCCATGCCCTGGAGTCAATCCTCAGTGTCTGTGTGTTTAGGGGTGGGGGTACAACACCCATGCTTTTACGTGAAATGCCCAAGGTAGGCACATCCACTGAAACAGAATGGATTCGTGGTTGCTAATCCTAGTATCTACAGCAGAGACCTCTGGGAAACAGGATGTGACACTGAGGTACTGGTACTGAGCTTCTACTTGTGGTGACAAGAACTCCTAAAGCTGACTGTGGTGATGGCTGCCCAAGACACAGTATACTAAAACTCACTCAACTATTTACTTTCAATGAGTGAATTGTACAGTATATGCAAATCTCATCACTTTCCACGTGAAAAACTTCCTTTTGAGTTCACAGTGGACTGCCACTGGACTACACAAAAAGCTACAGCCAGTATGTGAACAAATTCCAACGTCACTTTATTTATCAATAAAGAAACATTCTTCTGATATTTTTTAACAGTTTAAAAATGAAAAATCATCCTCAGATAGAGGCCAAACATAGTCTGACCTGGATGGTATGCTATTTATAATAATAAATAGCTGCATCATAATGTAGCTGCACATTCGAAACAGTAATGTCATGTGAGTACACACATGGAGATCTCTTAATTATCTTCCAAAAACATGTCATGTTTATTACTTACTTTTAACTTTTCTCTTAAATCATCCTTTTCTGCCATAATTCTTCTTAAGTCAGATAAGGCAAGTTCTTTTTCCTTTTCCATAATATTAATGAGACTACTGGGGATGGTGGTGTGCGTTGATTCCTGCCTTAGTGCACATAATTCTTCCTGAGCCTTAAGAATTGAAAGATATTATGGATAAGCTCTGCTTTAAAAAAAGGAATACTGAACACATACTATTTTCACTCTCTTTCTGAATGCCAACAAAATGAGAGTAAAAGGATTAAAATTAAATAGTAACACCAAAAGGACATGGAGACTGAGAGGTGGCAGTCACATAACGTTGAAAACTAGATGGCAGACGGACAAGTAGGAATTAACTAAGCAGACTTAACAAAGCTCAAATCTAAGCCAACTAAGAGGAAAGCCCAGAACTGGATCAACTTGTACAGTCAAATTCTAAAAAAGTTCAAAACATGAAAATGGTTCTGTTATCTTGACCTTTTCACCTGTACATCTTTTCTCTCATCAACGTAGCCCAGCACTTCATGGAAGATGAACAAACTTAGGGGACAGACTAGGCTTCCTGCAGACTCATGGTGCCCTCTGACAACAGAGGCTAGGTAAGGAAGCCAGGCTATCCAAATCCTTCCTCCCTTGAGATGTTTTTTTTGTCACTAGAGGGTAGGCTCTTAACAGCCACCACTGTAAACAGTGGTTGTTTACCCACGGCTGTGCCTGGGATTTGGGCATATAGGGGAATGTCTAGATCAAAGATAAACTTCACTCAGAACCAGGTACTTATAGAAGAAGGCGACTATTTCTTTTCTTTTCTTTTCTTTTTGGAGGAACTGGGGATTGAACTCAGGCCCTTGCCCTTGCCAGGGAAGCACTTATTCTACTGAGCCATCTTCCCGGCCCCTGCAACTATTTCTAATTGACCTAAAACATACATAGGCTAGAAAGGATGAAAAATAAATATAAAAAAACTTCTGCTTTGAGAATTAGATAAAAACAGAAAGTTCTACTAATATTACAAAGTCAATGTTACAGAAATCTACATGATGTATATTGGTTCTATTATAGTTATATATAACTAGTTCTAAGTAATCAATTGGAAGTTTATCATAATAAACTTCTTACTTCATTATATAAGACACTTAGTTTATCTCTTTCTGCTGTCAATAACTTAACATTGCACTGTATATCTTCCATATATTTTTCAAATCTCTCTAGCATACGCTGAAGTTCATCTCTTTCTCTTGTGACCACATGAATTTCTGAATTGTAATCACCCTGAAACATAATAAAAGAGAAGTTATCATTTGTCATTAATTAAAACATGGTTATCACTAAGACACTGGTAATAAGACCTACAGAAAGACACCAATGAACAAATAGCACATACTCTACAATGTAATTAAGTAGATGAAAGCCCTGGCAATACTGGTGGAAATTTCCTGGACTTCAGGTTCCCAGGAAGGGACTCAGCCACCAATGATATTACTTGTCAGAGTCCATCGGATGTGTTGACAACTCTGAAGTTGCTCATATTAGTGGTGCTTACAATGTAAGTTCTGGAATACAAGCATAAGTGATATCTAGGAACTTGTTATACATACAGATTTGTAGGTAGTGACTTAGAAACTCTGAGGGTAGGGTCTAGTAATTGTTTTACCAAGACTTCCATGTGATCTGGTACATAATTTCTGAAAATCACTAGTTTAGAATCCTTCCCAGGGAAGGGACCAGGGGAGTATGGGCATACCTTTCACCCAGCATACATAACAGCATAGCACACTCTTGATGTTTTCCATGACTGAATATCAAGATTACATGAGGTACATTTCTGCAGTCAGATGAAGGTAAACATTTCTGCCAGGCAGTATATATTAAGGACAGTCACTAAGTATTTCTAATGTTTCTAGAACAAGTATATGCCTACTATTCTAGAACAGTTTAAAAGACTCACATCTTTGCTATTGTAAAAAAAAAAAAAGTAAATTCATACTATTTCAATATTAAAGCACTAAATGTAAAGGGCCTAGATAAGGACAACAGGATAATTTGACACACTGTGAAGAGTTCCAGCCTTTATTATTCAATATCAACTGTGTACATACGATGGCTAACATGAGGTGAAATATTTACTGCTCACTGTCTACTTGGAAACAAGGTATCCTCATGACCAAGCAAGTAAAACTCAAGCCTCAATGGATGAAATTAGCTAGCTTGACCCCTTAAAGAACAAGATGTTTTACAGGAGAAAGCAGAATAGGATTTCAGGATATAAAGTCTAATACTATAAAAGACAAACTGTAATGACTATATCTAAGGAAATCATATAGAAAGGAAGCAGTGTATATAGATTCTAGAAAAAGGAGAGCTCAATGAATAAAGATTTAGAAGTCTATTTTCATTACTACTTAAGTTTCAGTTTAAACGTCACTTTCTGCAAAAAGTCTTTGCAGATTCTCCAATCTAATTTAGATTTTCTATATTCTTACATCGTCTTCCAAGCCATCCCTGTACATTCATTATTAACATTTCTCATAAATGAGATTTTAAAGTTCACTATATGTTCAGTGCCTAGTAAAAACCACCTGTTCCCTAAACATTTACTGGCTGAGCTATTTAAAACAAAAACAATTAATTCTCCTCTAAATGTATCTTGTGTATAGTATTTCTATTAGGGTTAATGTGTAATACTTAAATCCCCTTCACCATTCCATTATTCCTAACACTCAAGCACAAGCGTAGACATGCACAGTGCTGAAGGTGGCAAGGATAAAAATGATTTTCTCTCGTATTCCATGTCTCATTCACACATTAGGCTTGACTTGATTTGAACCAGAAAATAATAAAAAAATAAATTATGTACTAAAGAAGTCGGTTATCTGCAAAGTACTCCCAATGTTTTTTTTAAAGGCCTAATTCTAGGCAGAGAATGTACTCCTTAGTTTCCAAAACTCACAAGTGTATGACACTTTACTCTTTCACTCACATACTTATCCACTATTTTCCACCATCCTTGCAACTTATTATTTGGGTTCTAAAAATATTCTCAACTCTCGGAATTTTTGAACTCCAGAAAAAGAACTGTCTCTGGCTGGTCCTAAAATATTTTAAGAAAGTAAGAGGAAGGGGAGAAAAGGTGTTTCCTAATGGTACCAGTATCTAACCAATACTTCTCACTTGTCTTTCCATTGTGAATCTATACTAAGCAAATGAACCAAGTATTTACGGCAAAAGCTTTGAGCTTCTTATGTACTCAATGTTATTGATTAAAATGAACAATAATTTTGTGAGAAATCCTTCTATATAATGATAACAACTCAATGACTTATTTTCCCTATATACTAAGAATATATGAAACACAAGAACAACTCAGTAACATAAATTAACTTGCACTCTATTTTCACACTGGTTTACTTTGCTTATAATAGCATGCTGTTTACACTGACAACTACAAATCAAACTTTAGCCATTAACCAATGGGATTACAAAGCAAACTCTATCAGAAGGTAATAAACTACTGGATAATCGACACAGTTTTAATGCCTCTCTCCACTCCAATTTCCCTAGTTTTACCTAGTGTATAGACAATATTAGGGCCATATAAGCTTTCAGGATTTCTATAGCTCTAAAACTTAAGAAAAAAAAAAAAAGCATTCAAATGATGCTTATAAGATAGTAAAAAATAATTAAGTCTTAGAAACATATGATTTTAATCTCTCATGAATCATGATCAACTTTAAATAACACATACAATGGGAGACTCAAATGATACACAGGCCTGTAGGTATCAGCTGAGAGGCAGAGCGCTTGCTTACCATGCACAAAGCGCTGTGTTTGATCCCTAGCATCAGCAACAAGAGGAGGAAAATGAGGAAGACATGGAGAAGGAGAAGGTAGCAGCAATGGCAGCAGCAGAATTAGAAGAAGCAGAAGGAAGAGGAAGAAGAGACACACAACAGGAATTTAAAAAAAAAAGATATACAAAATGAGTATCTCTATCACTTTTATTTGGAGATGGGGTCTTGCTAAATTGCCCACTGGGTCTCAAACTTTTAATTTTCCTGCTTTAGCTTCCCAAGTAGCAGGACTCTAATATTCCTGGCTCTTAAGGTCAACATCTTTAGATTATCAACTTGTAAACACAGTTGTAACAAATAGAAAAATTTGCATATCATCTGCTTCCAATTTCTACCATCTCCCATAAAATGGATAACAGGAAAGGCGCCTGGTCAGTAGAAAGTGACACATCTTTCTGACTGGTCTTCCAATGTCAGAGTGACACAAAACCATACTGCCTGCCATGTAGACAGAGACACTCTGCTGCCAGAGAGACAGTGTAGCTGATACATAAAGTGAATTCTAGAAAGAGAGGAAATATTGGTGGCCATAAACTTCTGGGTTCCAGTTCTAGAAGCCCAGAGGCCTCTGTACTCCTATGAATCAACTAACTTTTCAGAACTTTAAAAAAAGCACATATAAACACATTAAGTTTAATACAATAAAACAGTAAAGCTTCATAATACTTTCTTACCAATTCTTATAAAATGATTTACCTTTTCTGATGTTCTACATACTGAAGATTTTTCATGTGCACAATAATTTATAGCGTAAGATCTTTTCTGTATGATATGTTGGAGTCTTTCTAGCTCTTTCTTATAATAATCTCGTTCTTCTTCTATACCTTTGAGAAATGTATCTAAACGAGAAGGTAACTTGTCTCGACGTTTTATTCCATGTTCTAGCCTCATCCTCTCAACTTCCAAAGTAAGTTCTCTTTCTGTAGTGAGTTAGTCAAATAAATAAAGTAAGTAACTTTTAGAAAGAATGCTAAAGAAGTCATGAACTGTTTTGTATAGTTTTTAAGTACCAAACATAATAAAGAGATAAATATTGAAAAAGAAGAAACAAAAAAGCAAAATATTGAAGTTTAAAGACAGTCCAATGAGAGAAATTCCCCTTACTTTGTCTTATTATAGATTGGAAACTAGTGTGACAAAATGAAACAATAAATGACAGAATGAAGCAATGACTTTCCACATCATATTTTCCAGGCATGTGAAGATGAACTACAAAAAGATATATTCAAACAATCAATTACAATATGAATAAATTTAACATTAAGCTTGAATATAACATAGTATATACATATATAAACAAAAAAAATCAAAATAACTTGGGCTTTCTCCAAATAAGCACTATTATTAGTTTTTACCATAGAAATAATTTTTCATGAGTCAAAAGTAACTAACTACAGTACTGAAAATTTTAAAGTTCAACCCAATTTAATCTGTGCTTATCAGAGCACGGAAGGATTATTCTTGGTATCTGATTCAGTTCCATCTCTTCTTGCCTTCATTCAGTGGATACATATTCAGCATTTACTATATGCCAAACCCTGGCTGAGGATTCAAGCATAAAAATCAGAGAAAAGATCACTGTGCTAATGAAAGAAGGCTAAAAGCTACAGGCTAATAGTGTATAATGCAAAATGGAAAATGAACTGGCAAACTGACCCCAAAAAGGAGTGACTGAAGAGGTAAGAAGGAAGCAGGAGAGTGAGAAGGGGCAACTGTGTTAAACACCAAGAAGTCAAACAGGCTAATGAATGAAACCTGTCCATTAGATTTAGCATAACGGACTTGAATGATGACCTTAATAAGAATAGGTTTTTGTTTGTTTTTTGTACTTTTTGTTTATTTGTTTCTGGTGAGATCAGGGATTGAATCCATGGCTTTTGCAATAAAATATTTCCCTAGCTTTTTTAAAATTTTGAGATGGGTATAAGCTAAGTCACTACATTGTCCCGGCTGGACTTGAACTTGTCATTTTCCTGCTTCAGCTTGCCAGACTCCTGGGGGTACAGGCTTCCATGAGCCACCATGCCCAGCTAATAGGAATGGTTCTGTTCATGTGAGGACAGACACCAAACTAAGTGGACTGAGGAGCTAAGGGATAGTGGGTGACCAAACAGAAACAGCCAAGCATGGCTTTTAGGTGACCAGACTTTATGTCCTTAAAAAGTTTCTGTACTTTAATTAGAACTATTTCAGAATGGTCATCATTTTATTTTTAATTGTATTTCTAAGGATTAGTTTTATTGCAAAAGATTACTTGCAAAGTATGACTCAAAGGATTAGTTTTATTGCAAAATATTCATGCAGTCAACTATATCAACTAACCAGTCAAAAATAGAAAAGAAATCTTAAAATCTTTGAGGGAGAAAGGTATCTACTATATCTCACAGCGCAGTATCTGAGATGTTTACTGGTGCAATTGTTTATTGATGAACGAAAGATCACCTAAGAAAACCAATATATCAAGATTTAAGTTATTAACACTTATTATCTTACCTGTCATTGAAAAATTTTCCATTTTTTTGGTAAGTCTTTGCTTTTCTTGTTCAAGCTGATGAACAACAGTTTCCAGGTCTGATTTTAGAAGAAGTTCATCGCTTAGTCTCTCTTTTTCCTTATGGCATAGGTCTAATTCCTGAAAAATGTAATATTATAATTAAGATTTCTAATAACTTTTTTTAATGGTGCCAGGGTAAACCTCTATGCACGCTTACCTGACAAGTGCTCTATCACCGAGCCACACTCCCAAGCATTTTGTGTGTGTGTGTGTGTGTGTGTGTGTGTGACAAGGCCTCACTAAGTTGCCCAGGCTGGCCTTGAATTTGTGATTCTCCTGCTTCAGCCTTCCTGGTAGCTGGGATTATGGGCATGTCCTACCAACTCTCAATTTTAAAAAACATTATTTTTATAAGCACACTTATATAATAGCAATTCACATATGTACACACATTTTAATCAAATAATTTCAACTGAAGTTTATTATCAACTGTAGCTAAACACACCCTAAAAATCCAAATATCCACAGTGCTCTTGAGAAGAGTATTAGATTTTACTTTCCCTTTATTTCATTAGCATTGTCCTGCTTTTTTTTAAATATGCACTTGTACAATAAGAAATTTAAAGCTTATGTTTAAAAGAGGGCAGTGGTAAGAGACAACATGCCTTTATGCTTACACATACAAAAATCAGTGAGTTTTTGAGCGCCTACGGTAAGCTGATATGCTGACTTCTTAACTGACTGACGGTACCAGAACACTGCAGCTAGACTGTGTGAAGAGTACACATGAGAAAAATAAACATTCATATCTATCTTTGTTTCTTCTCTTAGAAGAAATGTCCCATTTAACAGGCTACAAAAAACAGTAATAACAAAAAAACTTCAAGTCTTCTAGATGACCACCCACTTTCAACCTGTTAGCAAGATGTTCTTGCTGCTGGTGCTGGACTGGATGCTGTATTTAGGTGTCTCAGTTACTTTTCTCTCACTGCTGGGATAAAATACCTAACACCCAGAATTAAGGAAGGAAAGGTGGAGGTTTCAGTCCATACTCCACTAGCTCCAAAGCAGAGTGGCACGTGGACGAGAGCAGCTGTTCACGGCGGAGGAAAACAGCAAGCGCAAAGGGAATGGCAGCCGGGCTGCTGGCTAGCAGCTTCTTTCCCATCTTTACGCTGTAATGTACATCACCCGCCCCAGGGCAGTGCAGCACTCGCATCCATGATCCCAGCATCAGGTCATGAATCCATCACAAGCTCTAGAAGCTGCCTCATTTACTACACGAGGCTTGGGGGGGACACCTAGATACAAACCCTAACAGTAGGTTTCTGCTGGGATCACTATCTTGCTTATTAGATACAACAGGGGACAGGGGAGATGGCTCAGTGGAATAAGCACTTCCCTGGCAAGCGCAAGGGGCTGAGTTCAATCCCTGGTTCCGCAAAAAAAAAAAAAAAAAAAACAGCAAGCAATACGACTTAGGAAAATGGTTGATGTTACACCAAACAAAGTTATTAAAAGTGCTTGTTTTTAATAATAACAAATATATCAAGTAACTATCCATTTCTGATTTTAATATTAACAAATTACTGAATCATAAAGTATTTAAACAATATTATACCAAACCAGGTTTTAAAATTTGAATTTCACTTGCAAACCTATTACTACATAAAAGGTTAAAGAATTACAAAAATACAAAACTGTATATCCATACAGTGCAATAGAAACTCTAATAAGGAAGGAAATGAACTGTATATAAACCAGAAAAACATGCTAAGACAAAGAAGCCAGACACAAGGGGCTACCTACACATTGTATGATTTCATTTACACCCAATAGTCAGACAAATACATACAAACTAGAAGCAGAGACTGGTCTTCAGCAGCAGAGCAGAATGAGCAATGGCTAACAAAGGAAGTGAGGTTTCTTCTTAAAGTAATGAAAATGTTCTGCATTTAGATGGTTGTGGTGGTTGCAAAACTTTGCTACTATACTAAAACCACTGTATAAAGAGTGAACCTTGATATGCAAATGATATCTCAATAAAAAACATACACAAAATGAAGCACAGAAAATTTTACTAAAAATTTTGTTCTTATACTTTGAGATCGACTCACCAGCTGAAGTTTTGCCATTGTTTCTTCAAGATTCCGCATTTCACAGAGGTTTCTTTTGATCTCTTTCTAGGAATAAAAAGCTTATTAGGTAAATACCTTAAAAATACTCATCAGTATACCACTATGTAATTCTTCTAGTGGGTCATGTTCTCTCCCACTGAGGCATTAGCCCTGCCACTCAGTTTCAGTGAAGAGGGGTAAAACTGAGAATTTTCTTTGAAATTTTGGTATCCTGAATACTTACAGGGACCTATTTGTAACAGTTGAAAGAAAAGGGTAACAAGAAATTTTTGGGGGGGAGAGGTCCTATATTCTGGCAGGATTTTCATTACATCTTGAACTTCAGGATATCTTTTAAGGTACTGTCATTTCCTAATTTTACTATTCTACTTGTTTTCTTTCCACCCTGCTTTTACCAGTCTGGATCCCCTATATTGCAATCAAGAGGGTAGAATGCTGGAATAAAAATATTATGGACCAACAAGAATCTTCTGTTAAGCCAACCTGTCCTTTCTGAGCATTGTGCATGGGCCACAAGATATGTTCAGCATACTGCACAAAGATGCTCAGCACAAAAGCATATTCAGCACAGGAGATGCAGGAGGAAGTTGAAAAAGAAAGGGGTGTTAATGTAAAGGCAAAACTGTATTAATTAAATGCTTTCTCAGCACTGCTTTTATCTAGGGTTTCGTGAGGTTCCATATAGATTTTTATTTAATTTATTTATTTTGAGGCAGGGTCTTGCTACGGTCATTCAGGTCAGCCTGGCCTTGAACTTACTATGCTGCGAAGGCTGGTCTGAAACTTGCATCCTCCTGCGTTTGCCTCCTGAGTGCTGAGATTATAGGTGTGTATCACCACACCTGGCCTCTATATAAATTTTAGAACTTTATTTTGTTCTTTTTGATGCTATTGAAAATAAGGTTATTTCTTAATTTCCTTTTTAGGATTCCTATTGCTAGTATAAACAATCATACCTGATTTTTTTTCTTGGTACTGGGAATCAAATTCAAGACCTTGCACTTCCAGGCAGGCCTTTGTGCCACTGAGCTACATCCCCAGCCCCATACCTGATTTTTGTATGTTCACTTCATAATCTGCAACTTTTCTGAATTACTAGTTCTACCTTTCTTTTTTGGTGCAATCTTTAGGATCTCCACACATAATATCATACCTTCTATGATCAGAGATAATTCTACTCTTCGCTTAAAAGTTTACATGCCTTTCATTTCTTTTTCTTGCTTAACTTTTCTGGTGAAAAGTAAAATCACACTTACTGTGGGCTTTTCATGATTTTATTATAGTGAGGCAGCTTCTTTCTTCTAGTTAGTAGAATTGACAACTCCATTATAGAACCGACATGAAGGCTTTCCAAGAATTAGGTAAAACAGTGGTATGCACACATAATTTGAAGGAGTCATTACTTGGATTGTAACATGCATATAAAGTCCTTCCAATAATATTTTATGGACTAGGAGATGGCTCAGTAGAAAAAGCGATTCCCTGGCAAGCACAAGGGCCTGACTTTAATCCCTGGTTCCGTGCCCCCACCCCCCGCAAAAAAAATTGCAGCTGGTCAATAATATTTTATTTTTTACATATTTCCCAACATTTGTGGTTCATGTGTCACTCTGATCCACTGATCACTACTGTAATGATAACACTATTTAGAGGAAAATGTTAATACTTTGAACCTTATAGTCACAGAAAATTTTTTCAATACATGTATTTTTTATTCTAGGCAGGTATGATGAAGTGATCATAAAAAGATATTCAAGGATAAAGTATGTTACAATAGGATTCAATTTTGCAAAGATTTCAAGGAAAAAGAGTCATTTACTTTTCACTGGTTACATTTAAAAGAATCATGAGATTAGTATTAACAGGTCAGAATTTATGAAAGACTAAAAATTTTATCTTTTCCGACTTAATGATGAGAAACATTAGCTACTAATATAAAATGTGCAAGAACACATATTTTTAAAATAGCTTTAAAAGGTTCTTGAGCTGGGCATGGTAGCGCACATCTGTAATCCCCCAGAAGGCTGAGACAGGAGGATCACTGTGAGTTCAAGATCAGCCTGGGCTCCCAAGTGAGTTCAAGGCCAGCCTCAACAGCATAGAAAGACCCTGTCTGAGAGAGAGACAGAGAGAGAGAGAGAGAACGAGAGAGAGAGAGAGAGAGCGAGCTCTAGAACAAAAAATTATAGGGCAAGCTTTGCTTTGGACTCTCACAATACCGAGATAAAAAAGAAAATGTGAAGAAAATAGGACAGAGTTTTGAAGAAAATATATATAACACTATATGTAAGAATGGGTTTTTTGTTTCTTTCTTTATTTTTTTTTAAATTTATTTATTTATTTATGTGTGTGTGTGTGTGTGTGTGTGTGGCCAGCTCAGCCCACCAGGGGGCGGGGCTGGCTGGCATGTGGTGCTGGGGATTGAACCGCGGTCCCTGTGCTTTGCTTTAGCTTAGCTTGTTCTAAGTAGGTGCTTTAGACCACTGAGCCATCTCACCAGCCCTCTTTCTTTATTTTTGAGACAGGGTCTCACAAAGTAGCTCAAGCTGGCCTTACAGTGATCCTCTTGCATCAGCCTTCGGAGCGCTGGGATTATAGGCATGTGCCACCACAACCAGCTAGCTGTGCTTTTGAAAAACTCTCAACTTAAACAAATGAAATTGTTTAGAAGGTATAAACAACCCTTAAGAAAATTTTAAATTGACCCCCCCAAAAAGAAAAATAACACATACACAAAATAAATAAAGAACCTGGGCACAGAATCCAAAGGGCTTGAGCTGCACTGTGTCCTCAGAGAATTAATCACTACTCCTGCAAGGAGACAGATTACCTTTGCTTCCCCAAGTTCTTTATCAGCTGTCTCAAGTACTTCTTCTTTATGTCTTTCTAGTTGCTGTGCTAAGTGGTCTATTTCAGTTAATTCTTGGCAGAGTTTTTCATTTTTGTTACTTAAATTAACTACTTCAGTTGCCACTGTTTCCTTGGTTTCCATAAGCTCTTGAATATGCTTCTCCAGGTCTTTATTAGCTTGCTGAAGAAAGTCAACCTAAATTAAATTTGTAATCATAAGGTATATGAATTGGAAAGTTATCCTAAATTCTAAACTATAAAAATATTTTATTTTTAGGAGATAATGAAATCAAAACTATAGCTGTTTTATATTTGTAAACTTAAATACTGATTTTATTTGCAAAACTAACAATATGTGCTTATATATTAATGAAAATATACACTCACTGGCTTTGGTTTTGAAGTACAAAGGAAAGAATAAGAAACCTGTGTGAACGTCTTCCCCCAGTACAGTATCTAAAACTATGACAAGGATATCACAATGACAATATAAAACTGTGCTGTTTAAAATATGGTAGCCACAGGCTGGAAGACAGTTTGGTGGTCTAAGCACCTTCCTGGCAAGCGCAAAATGACCTGAGTTCAATCCCTGGTACTGCATTCCAGCCCCGGAACCCTGGGCGCACTAGGGAGGCTGAAACAAGTAGATCACTACAAGTCCAAACTGTGTAGTGAGACCCTGTATCCACAACAAAACAAAATAATAAAATAAAATAAACAAATAAAATATGGTGGCCACTATCATCTACATGTGGCTACTGAGCACTTGAAATCTGGCTAATCCAAAATGAGACACACTACAAATATAGAAGATACATAGTATTTCAAAGCCCTGGTTAAGGAAAAAAGAGTAAAAATATTGCATGCTGAAACAAGATTCTGGATATAGTAGCATAAATACAGTATTAAAAGTAAATGTACCTCTTCCTTTTTATTTTTCTAAAGGGCTAGGTAAAACTTTTAAAGCATATACTTGGCTTGTGTCACATTTCCATTGGCAGGACTGTCCTACAGCTAGTGCTGGTATTTTTTACCTACTGTGCTCTGGCTACAGTGGAGGCAATGTTGACACATCTAAATGTCTAAAGGTCACATGTCACACAGTGTAGAACTCTCCTGCTCTTTCCACCTTAAATCAAATGCATGGCATGAGTGAATAAAAGTTATAGTTTGAGAAAGATATATATTCCTATATATATACATATTCATGTTATATATTCCTCTATATTTAAATAATGTATAATCTGTTTATATATTTAAAACCATCTTTTTGTATTACACAAGAAATTATCATAAAATTTTAAATATAAAAAGCCATCCAGAACAGTATCTCATCACATAAAAGATAAGCTTGGCTAGTACCTTTTGCTACGTTTTCTTTAAGTGTTAAGATGACACCTAAAGACCACACTATGCCCAGTTTAAGTTTTTACCACTTGGATGTGTCTTAATTCCTGCCTCATTAAACGGTCTTTAAGAACAAGAACTTTTTCAATAGTTGGACTCTGATACTTGGGCTGTACCCAGTTTTTTTCCACTGTAAATAATACTTCAATGGACAGCCTTGTCACTTGTACAACTTAGAGACCATTATAAACACCTCGGGTTTTATACACACAGCAAAATACTGGTAAGAGTCATTACCTGCACATTTAAGTGAGCAATCAGCTTTTCATTGGTTTTATTTCTAGTCTCCAGAGCCAAGACATCCGGGGAGCGGCCACCATCCACAGCAACTGACAGTCGCTCGATCTCTCGCTCTCGCAGCTCGATCTGCAGACACAGTCATGCTACCACTTTAAAAACATCGATTCTGAACCAATCAGTAAACATTGAACATTTACTCGGACATGTTTTCCTTATGTCCCACCATGTAATAAGGTTCACATATGCATTCATATGCAGAGCAAAAGGAAGTCAGAAAATGTCAACCTAAGTATTATCAATATTATTCATAAGTATTTTCCTTCTACTTTCATTTCGTCCCCTCCTTCTCTAAGAGTAAACAACTATTATATAAAAAGCAACTTGTCAGTAGATTGTATGCATGTTCAAGTACTGGGACTGAGTCTGAACTACTTCAGTGCCTGGTGGAATAAATATGGAGTGAATGCAAAACACAAAAAAAACTAATTTGTTGCTACTGATTCTCAATATTAAAAAACATATAGAAAAATGAGATCAATTTAATTATCTAGGGGCTGGAGAGATAGCTTAGTAGAATAAGTAGAATAAGCACTTGCCTGGCAAGCGCAGGGTCCTGAGTTCAATCCCCAGTACCGGAAAAAAAAAATCTATTATTTATGAAACAACAGATAAATAACCAAAAAGTCATTAGATAACTACTAACTTTGAACTGATGTTAATTCATATGTAAGGATTTGGAAAAAGTCACAATTTTTCAAGCTGTGGTTTTCTTAAGGAAGGAAAGGAAGAAAGGAAGAGAAGTCAAAACATTCAACAAGTAACCCTACAGCTCAAAAGTAGGCATACAAAGATAGATAAAACATGGTCTCTCACTTGCAGGAACATGGACCTTTTTATAGGGAAAACTAGCAAGTAAACCAGTAACTTCTGTACAATCTGGTATTCAGATAGAGTACAGGAAAAAGGTATTTTCCTCAAAGTAGCTAAGAGGTTTAGTTGGCACTGTATATGTGTCTGCAGAAACTATTAAAGACGTGATCAAAATATGTCTGACAGGATTATAAAGAATGCTAGGAGAAAAAAGATATTCCAGTTAGTGACACAGGAGTAAAAAGCAATGTGGTATTTAAGAGGCACTAGAATTGGTTCAGTGTGACTGGACTATAAGGTACAAGGAAACGTTAGGTTGAACATGAATCTGCGGAAGTAGGCCTTGGACAGGAAGAATAACCCCTTCCCTGTTAAGAGAGCCTGAGTATAAGTATTGCTCAATTTTTTTGTATTGCTAATTTTAAAGGTAAAAATAAAAGTTCATTTTCTTAGGTGACATCATGAAAGTGAAGAGAAGGTATTATTAATTGGTGTTACTATGTTTGGTTCTGGGATAGAATCCAGACTTCAGGCAGGGTAAGCATGTGTTGTAGTCTCCTGCAGGCCTGCGTCACAGATTTCATTCATTGAAAGGCCCGAAGGTAAGTGGTGGAAGCTAGGAAGTCTGTGCCAGAGGGATGAAGGATCTGTGCTAGCAGGTTGAGGGATCTGAACTGGAGCCAGGAAGTAATGCTCAAGGTAAATACTAGAGCTCTCCCAAATGTGCCACAGCCATCCTCAGCAACAGTGAGGTCATAAGCTCCTGCAGCAACAAGGAAAGCTGAGTTCCCATCAGGAAAGCCAATGTGACAAACTTCTCATGAGGCTGAGCAGTGCACCACCTTCCCCTCCAGGGCCTGGAAGCAATGCTCAAGATAAAGACCAAAGCACCTCAAAAGTTCATCGGGAAAGCCAGCATGATAAACTCTCCAGCAGAACAGCCCAAGAGAACTAGCAGTTTCCAACAGTTCCGACAGCTTCTCCAAACAACCTCCCTAACAGAGTTCAGGTAGCTTCTCCTGTTCTGCCTTTATGCTACTGGTAACAATCCTCAGGTGGGCCTCCCGAATCCAGCATCATGCTAGTTTAATTCAGCTGGGTGTAACAAGCTGACCAACAGTTAGCAATCCACTACAGCATGCAATCTATCCCTGAGCTATGTCCTAGTAGTACAAAATATAGGATATGCGCTGAGAAAAACAAAACAAACTCAAGTGAAAGAATAATGGTAATAACGGACAGCAAAGCAGGCTCAACTAAGATTAACAGCCACATAAATTGGTAGCTTCAATCAGGATGCTCAAGAAATTTTCTCTAAACACATCAGTTACCTCACAGAGATGGTGAAGACCAGCCAGTTTATGTTCATGAAATGCTTAGAACAAAATGTGACTAAACTGTGATTATAAACTGAAAAACACGAGTAATAGCAGCTCCTGTATGTCTGGTATTTTTAACATCTCTTCATAAAGTTAGTTTCTTCTCTTTTTTTTTTTTTTTTTTTTTGTTTTTTAGGGAAGGGTCTACAGGGTGTTCAGGGTCTCACTACTAGATCAAGACTTGTAGTGATCCGCCTGTTTACAGCCTCCCAAGAGCTGGGACTACAGGTGTGCGCCACCACACCCAGTCTCAGCGTGCCCTGGGATCAAATGCCCTATAAAGTTAGTTTTTGAGCTGACATGATTTCCTTTCTCCTAACTCCATTTTTTATGCAAATAATCTTCAAAGTACTTCACAAACTTTAAAGTTACACTAACACATAAGGTACATTTACATTTACACGTACAGATTCTTGCACTCTAAAAGATATAGCCATGTGCAGAAAATGAAAACTGTGTTACTCAATTTAAACATGAATAAGCATGTTAAGAAGGAAATCTTGTAATGTAGCCAGGATGTCAACAGAAAGTGCAAAGGACAAAGTCTGGTATGCTTATAATTTAACATTGCATCTATTAACCTCCACATGGAAAGAGCAGTGGACTCTTGGACACTTCATCAAGAAACTGCTTTAGGAGTTACTTATGATTTTTGAGAAAACACACACACAAAAAAAAATTCAGAAGAGTAATTTCCAAAGAGGAATATGCTCAAAATAACAGTATCTGTCAAAATAAGAAAATAACAAATACAATTATAAAACATACTTGGGTAGACAAATGTTTCATCTAAAATAAAATGAAAATATGTCTTTTTTCACATCAATGAATAATGAAGGAAAGGAACTGAGTGCTTTTATTAACTCCATTCACAAATTGATGGACAAGGTAAAGGCTGTATAAAAACAGTGTCACTTACATAAAATGTAACTGAGTTCTAGTAATGATTGGGACATGCGCATCTCAACTCCACAAGACCAGGTAGTAAAATCCCTACCTGCTTGCTGTAATCTTTCACACCGCTTTCCATCACTGCTAGCTTTTCTTGTAGCTGGTGGACCTCCTGCTGAAGTTCTTGGATCCTGAAAGGAATTTATGATTGATGTCAATGTATGTGCAAAGAATAACAAGAAATCAAAATAATTACTTTACAAACTTTATACTCTTGCTTCACAATGAGGGATCGGTGCTGTATCAGAGGATCTGGAAGCTTCGCAATGAATGCAGCAGATCATCTTGGAGAACTAATTTTGGGTTAAGAACTGAGTAGAAAAAAACCTGAAACTCAGACACATTATGCAACAAAATACTTCACTCTTGCATTTTGCTATCAGGACAACTCCTGGGGACACTGCTGCTAATTCTTAGATTTAGAAAACTGACAATCCAGTTCAAAATTCAGAACATCATTACATGAAATAATGGACTAAAATGTTTTAGGGTGTTCATTATTAATTAAATCCATACTGTCTAATAAACTATTCTGCAATCTTTTAAGAGAAGAAAAATAGTGAGATAACTTCAATCTTCCAACTCACTACAGCAAAACACTTGCTCTTTCTGAAACCTGCAAATCCTAAGAGAATGAAGATTTCTGTGCAAATTACCTCAATTCTACAAGTATCCAAATGTATTTGTACTACCTCAATAGGACATACCACATTTTTGTACTGGTATGATAAAGCCGGAAGCCAAGTCTACTTTTCAGAGATTTTTCCATGAGGTGGAAGAGTAAGACTGAATACAGCTTATTCCTACTAGTCAACAAAGTTTGGTTCTAGACTGATTTAGAAGAAGTGTGTATATACAAGTATATTTCTAACCTAAATGCCTGAGTGACTCTGAATACAAACAAAACATATACGTGCAAACTAAAGCAAGCAAGGCAATCAAAAGATTAGGCCGGCCAATTAGCTCAGTGGACTAAAGCACCTGCTTAGGCAGAGTGCAGTGGCCAAGGTTTGATCCCTGGCATACCATGCCAGCCCTGCCCCCAGGGTGCTCTGAGATGGTGATGGAGACTGGGAGTGGTGGCCCGCACCTACACTCTCATCTCTTGGGAGACTGAAAACAGGAGAATCACTACGAGTCTGATCTACATAGTGAGACCCTATAGACCCTGCAGACCCTGTACCAAATACATAAAAAAAGGACTAATGCTACCTGTGCAGCCCAAATAATTTGTTAACAATAGCACATTACCTGACAAGTCCTGGCACATCACTAGCACAAAACATGACAAGTTTTAACTTTAACATAAGATTAACTCAAAATATTTCATGGTTCAGTAACTATATAAACACAGCTACACAAATTGTATAAGAACTGAGTGAAGAAATCTTAAATCGATTCTTCAACTAATACTTTTCTAAAGATTAGCATTTATGAACACTAGTAAACCAGAATACTCCTCCATATTCTCAGGACAGCCTACCAAGTGCTTGTGTGCACTATTTCTACTAGTACATCCCGGGGTGAATGCTCCCCTGGCTACCTCCATGGCGTCACTAGTGCTGGCTCATGTGTGCCTTTGAATGCCCTATGATTTTCTAAATAGCTGTCTATGGATTCTTTGGTCCCATCTCTACTACGAGACTGCAAGCTTCTCAAAAAGGGCAGCACCACTTTCTTATCTGCACACCCTGGAATGCTTTCACAGTACCTTGCCCTGGAGGCTTAATGAATTGTAATTAAAGTGACGTGTATCTGATTCCAGTTTAAGAAAAGTATAAATACAGAGCTAAAGGGACTGTGAGGTAGGAATTTCAAGTCTAGTTATAAATCTACTCATGCCCAACTAGCATCTGAAATAAATCTGAAGTAACAAAAATTCCTGTAAAAGACAAACTTACTTAGAAATAAAACTGTTTAAACAACTCTGATGCAATAGGCTCTTTATGGTACTGAATTATTTCAAAATGAGTAAAGATGGAAATCTAAGATATACAATCTATCTGAAATTGAAGTTTCAATTTTTACTTATAAATACTCTGAGGGCTGGCCAAATAGCTCAGCAGATTAAAGCGCCTGCAAGCAGGTGCAGGGGCCAGAGGTTCAATCCCAGGGCCTGCTGTGCCGCTGGCTGCGCCCCTGGGGCACTGAGGCAGCAACTGAGATTGGGCGTGGAGGCACATGCCTGTAATCCCAGCTCTTGGCAGACTGTAAACAGACAGATCACTATGAGTCAGTTCTAGTAGTGAGACCCTGAATACCTTGTAGACCCTTCTCTAAAAATAAAAAAAAACAAAACAAAACAATACTCTGTATCATTTAGAAAGTATTGAGTGCCAGTGCACAGTTCTGTACTAGATATTGTGGATATAATGTCATAAAAGTCTTATCAATAAATGTACAGCTAATCAGTGATCAGTTAAAGAATATTATGAATTATTAGTCTCGTCAGTGCTGGGCCTGGCCTGGGCTGTGTGCATGCTAAGCATGGCTCTACATCTACAGCTGAGCTACACTCCTTGCTCCCAGGGCACCTGTTATCAGCCACTTGCAGTAGGTCTGCAATGTAAGGGTCATCCGGCTGTGGAACTGGATAAGAGCTGACTTCAGAGGGAGGAGCTGGCTCATCGATTTGCATTCGCTGGCGTCGGAACGCAATGTTTCTTTTCTTGCCACCTGAAAAACAAAATATGTCTTAAAAAATTAAGAAACAAAACACCATTAAATTAAATATTCCAGGTCAGCCTTTGTTACATAAAGTGAGTCTTCGGGTCATATTACATCATGATAAAATACTTTTCCCTGTGTGTAAATACCCACCCTGCTCTCTAAACAACATAGTCCTGAAAACCTCAACAGGACACGGCCATAGAATGTTTTCTGTGCTCACTTGCTTGGCATATGTGCTCCATTTAATCTCTTCTTCCCTTAGATGGCTCTGGCAAAGCTGAAGCGAGTGTGCTACGTGGCATTCCTTATTAAGAGCTCAAGGCGTCACCTCCAGCAGAAAGGTAAGGAACGTAAGGCAGCGGAAGCCAAATACACACGCTTCTTAAGCAGCATCAAAACAGCAGATAACCAAAACTTTACATAGCAAAATTAGAATCCTATGGAGTATCACCATAAAGTACCATAAAGTCATGCTATTAACTCGAATTAGTAGGCAACATTTTAATTAATATTACTAGTAATAATTTTTAATAGATTGATCTTGCTTTGACCTACAGTACATTTATAATTTATCTTTTAAGCATCTAGCCAAGATTAGAAATGTACTTGAAAAAAACTAATAGATCCTTATAAAGAAAAACTGTCAATATCGCATTCGTGAGGACGCTAACAAGTTCTGTTTTGAGAAGGACTAGGCTTACCTGGAGTTTGTACCACAGCATGTAAATTCTTTTCTTGAAGTTGCTGGATCTTTTCATTTTTAGCTTTGCTCTCTTTCTCCAAAACTCTGAGTTTGTGTACATACTGGTTATTCAGAAATTTCAGATCTGCTGTTTCACGTGCACACTTCTTCAATGTAGTTTTCAACTCTTAAAATGAAAAAGATTCAAAGACTTCTTTTGTTTTGGAGACAGGGTCTTGCCCTACAGTTTAGTTTGGGAGGCGAATGGATCACGGGTGTGATAGTGGATTAGTCCAAAGAAAGGTTCTCAGCTGGGTGTGCCAGTGACATGTGGGAACAGGCGGTTTGGTGTGGGCACAGCCTGGAGGGGCACTATATATCCCTCTTTACCTTTGAGAGCCGCCCCTTCCTGCCTGCCATGCCCCTCTGCCTTGCAGCCAGCGTACTACAGACTGAAACTCTACAAACTGCAAGCCAAAATAAACCTTTTCTTCTTTAAGCTATGGAAATCAGGTATTCTGTCTAATCAACGTGAAAATTGCTATAGGACTATCATCTTCTCTAATCGGAAGTTTCAAAATCAAACTCTACAGTCTTCCTACATATAAACAAGATGGGCAAAGGCATTGCATTTTAGAAATTACTGCACTTTCATTTACCTTTAGTATTTTGTTCTGAGCACTCTCTCAGTTTCATTAACTCCAGGTATAATTCATTATTTTCTTTACTCAGTCTTGCATTTTCAAGTTTATAGGGTTCTAAAACAAAATCAAAATTGGCACTTTCCTTTTCAGCTTTCACAGAAGATAATTTTGATTGTCGAAGGCTTTCTGTCGTATGAACCAAGTCACTAAAATTGAAGAACAAAAAATGTAAATATAACGAAACACTAATCTTCTAATAACTTAAAATATACTATTTAAAGGTTTAAAATATATCTTAGTGTTAAGAGATGGCAAATTCTAAAGAAAAATGGCAAGTTCTTTCAAGGTATTGGGGGCCTAAAAATGTCTCAAAACAAAGCTAATTGTACTTATGAAATACACATACATTGAGTTATCTTTAAATCTCTTTTTCTTGCTCATTTTCCAGGTTTGTAGCAGCTGGGAAATTTATTTGCTGAGCAAATATTTATTGACTGACTGCAATACGCTAAGCACCAGAGACACAGCAAATAAGCAGCAGTCTCTTATGTCTAAGAACATGGAACACCATCTACTATGTACTTATTGAGGAGGGCATACAAGAGGTCCTCACCACTATAAAGCTTGTCTTTTACAATCTGTCAGACAGAATAAAACTATATGATAAACTCAACTAATACTTCAGTGCCTACTACATGCTCAACCAGTGGAGGTCACAGACTCCGGTCTCACAGAGTCTGTACAGATTCTAGAGGGAGACAACGAAGTCTACAGTAATGATGTATATTAAGGAAAAAGCAACAGTTACAAAAGAGTACTAGAGGACACACAAACTTAGAAGGCAAGCAAGCACAAAGGCAAGGGAAGGCAAGGAGGAAGGGACTGCACAGCTAGATGAACAAGTATACAGGGACCACAGGTGAGAGTGCACACGAGCCCAGGAACCCTCAGGGGATTCAACACAGGGGCAATGAGGCTACAGGGAAAAAGCAGGTGGTACACCAAGAAAGGTCTGGGAGGTCATGTAGAACATCTACTCATTCTCTCCTGTACATTCTACTGTAAAATCCTGTCACTTCTACTATTAAGTCTTCCTGCTCAAGTCTCAAACTACTCCAACAGGAAAAAAACCAAAGAAACACAAACTTCTCCTTTAAGGCAATATGATAGCAATGATGAACAACATATGAAGTATAATCAAAACATATGTGAATGCTTAAAACTAAAAAATGTATTACAATAAATGGTAAATGGCCACTAATCCCCTTTAAAATATGCCCTTGGTTTGAACATTCTTATCCCATTGTTCTTGCCATTTCTATAGCAGCTCTGGAAATCTTCTTTCATGAGTGCCTTCAGCTGCATTTTATGGCTGTCTTGCTAACCAAAATGAACTCAAACTGTTTGCTGTTCATGGTCGTTTTGATTTTGGGAAAGAGCCAGTTGTCACATGGTGCCAGATGTGGTAAACAGGTGGGCAGGGAACACATGGCAATGTTTTTATAAGTGTACTTTTGCATTGGGTGGCACTTGGCAGCAGCACTCACTGCAGTCTTGATTACATCGCACAGATACAGAAGAGGACTTCCAGATCTGCTGAAGAAGGTGGGAAGAAGGCTAGGATTTGGATCTCCAACAATAGAAGCTAAACTAAGCAACATATCTCCAAACTAATTCTATGCAGAGAAACTCTCCAAATGTTTACTCTGGATATAGTACGAGTGGTGATGCCTAGAGTTTTATAATGTGGAGATCTCAGATTGAGGACAGAGGAGCTAGAATCAGAGGAAAGAGAGAAGCTTCAAATGACTTAATGATTTTTCAACTCTGCTCATCTCTTTAATGAAGAAGTCTGATCAGAAACTAAACAAGGGGTTTAAGGATCACATAAGTTTAGAACCATATTTTCTCTTTACCTGAATAGCTTTTCTACCAAAGGTAAACACTCGACCGTCAGAGTCTGACGGTATCCCAGCTGATCCAATCTCTTCCTAATATTCACATACTTCCTTTCTGCAGCTGTTGTCATCTTGGCTTCCAAAACCAGTTTTACTCACTTCCAAAAATTACAGTCCTAAAAGAAAAGAATGATTATTACAAGTATTGTTGTTTCACAAAAAGAGATTCTTTTAATATGAAACAATTATTCTTTGTTTCTTTTCATTTAGGCAGACTTCTGGAATATTTACACTGATTTAAATCCTTTGCTATGTTCTCCATGTTGCTGTATTAAAATATCTTTTTGCAAACCTAAATGTAAAAATTAAAATAATAAAGAGCCTGAGGCAGGGAAATTTTTTGTTTATTTATTTTTGCCTTTTTTTTCTTAGTTGAGGTTTATTTTTTGGTTTTGGTGCCAAGCACTGAACCCACAAGCTTTCAGCTTGCTAGGCAAGCATTCTACCGCTGTGCTAAATCCTTAGACCCCAGGGAAAGAAATCTTAAAGGGGACTCTTTTAAAAGCACACAGTATAGAAAAAAATTGACCAAATATTTATTGACTATTTGCTATATGCTAAACTATATGATAAACCAGACTGCATCAAAATTAAACTGAAGTCTTCAAAATATTGAAGAAAAAGACAAACCAAAGAGTGCCTAAAAACTCCAAAAAAGGAGTTTTCTAAACAATTCATAAGTTATTTCATAACTCAATAAGACAAACAACCCAATTGAGATAATTTAGGCTAAAACTAAATTTACTTGCACTAAAGATATGAACGGGAACCTTGCAAAAATAATCTGAAAAGAAAGAGTACATGAAAAAGGTGTTCAGGACAAGTTGTCAGAGAAATTCAAATTAAAACCGCTAAAAGGTATAACTTTGTCCATACTAGAACAGCTAACACTAAGAAGAATGGCAATACCCACAGTTGGCAAAGATTTGGAACTGTATTTATATAACACACACCCACAAAAGACAAGAATGTTCACAGCAGCTTTATTCATAATAGTTCCAAACTAGGAACAACCCAAATGCCAAACATCAACCTCAGAAGGGATGTACACTGTAAAACTACTCAGGGAAGAAGAGTGTGAAGCTATGGATACATTACCAACATAGATGAATCTCAGAAATGCTAGTGAGCAAAAGAAGCCAGACACATACACTGTACTTTGGTTTGGTGCCGAGGACTGAACCCACAAGCTTTCAGCTTGCTAGGCAAGCATTCTACCGCTGAGCTAAATCCTCAGCCCCCAGGGAAAGAAGTTTAAAGGGGACTCTTTTAAAAGCACACAACATAGAAAAAAACTGACCAAATATTTATTGGTCAAATATCTATGAAGGTCAAAATCTGGCAGAATTAGTAAAGGGAGAGAAAGTAGCCCACCATCACCCAGAGAAGTAGAGACTGGCTGCCAGGGTTCAGAACTTTCTAGTGTGATAAAAGTACAGTTGAGGGAATGGTGCACACATCTATGGATGCTTTTCAAACATACATTTCACCATGAAAATTGCACTTCAGTTTTTTAAAGGAACTTAAGTACTTGTACACATGTTTTTAAACTTGCCTAAGTATTTATAACTACATTCTCCAGCTACCTGCCCTAAAATGGAGTTATCTAAAAATAATTCTTTAGAAATTTTTTTTTCTGACCTTTGCTAATTAAATGTAGTCAGTGATATCCACGGTTCTGAATTCACATGTTTGTTTTTTGTTTTTGTTTGTGTGTGTGTGTGTGTGTGTGTATTAATCTTTTATTTATTTGGTACAGGGTCTCACTATGCTGCTCGGACTTGTAGTGACCCTCTTGTCTCAGCCTCACAGTGCTGGAATTACAGGTGTGCACCACCATGCCAGATTTTGGTGGCCAGGTTGGTGCCTAGGGCTGGCCTGGCATGTGGTACTGGGGATCAACCCAGGTCCCTGCACTTGCCAGGAAGGCACTTAGACCACTGAGCCATCTCCCCTTGCTTTAAGAGAAGGTCTTATTATGCAGTTTAGGCTGGCCTTGAACTCACTATGTAGACCGGGTTGGCCTGTAATACGCAATCCTCTTACCTTAGCCTCCCAAGTGCTGGATTATAGATGTGTGCCACCACACCCAGCTAAAAGCTTTTTGTTTTACTAAATCAGGGTGTGGCTGGTCCTGTACTCACTATGTGACCCAGGCATAGCTTCCTACTCACAATCCTTCTGCTTGGCCTCACGAGTGCTGGGCCTACAGATATATACTACCATACCCATTTCTAAATAACTTTGTTTTACATCTCTGTTATTTTTCACAACTGATACAGTATAAATGCATGTGAATACATCCTGCCAGGAGAACCCCACACTACCCCTGCCTGATTCTAAAACACAGCTGACTTTTGAGATGCTTGATGTCTCAGCCCCTCCTCTTCACCTCCCGCATGTTTTTTGTAAACTTGTCCATCTCTCCAGAGCTTGTACCATGACACCAGTGACACACACCCTTGGATTCCCTGCACCTCCTTAATTGAGCTGGGAGATGGAGTTGTTTCTCCCTGCACTTGGTCAGAGGGGTGAGCCCATTATATCCAGTTTTCAGTGGTGATGTCACTTTCTCTTTGCCCAATGATCTATGAACACGTTACAGATGTGTAGTTGGCTTTCCTCTGTCCCTTGGTCTTTAGAATGGCTAAAAGACTATAGAAATGAGGCTGCAGAGAAAAACCACTCATCATGATACTTTAGAACTCTTGACCAGTGCGCCACTAAGATGTTTCTTCAGTTCTTTCTTCTGACAAACAGGGCTGCCTGAGTCCAAGGAAGCCGCACAGTAACGCTCATGCAGCTTTAGTTAACATGGTCCCTGGAGCCAGATGAAGTTTCTTCACTATCCTGACCACAGAAAGCTTCTGTCCATTCACATAAAGCAAGAGTTCCCTCAGGTAGGCCTGCAAGGCCTGCAGAGCCTGAGAGGAGGCAACCCATCCTCACCTCCACCTGCCTCACTCAGGTGTAAGGGCAGCATCAGCTTGCAGATGTGATGCTATCTTCACGACCCTCAGCAGCTCCCCGAGATTCAAGGCTGCATCCCATGACAAGGGATGAAAAGTCATGGGGTGCTTGAAGTTCATTCTAGTTCTTTTTCCCCAAGGAAATATAACCTACATTTTCCAATGGAATTCATCTTAGTCCTGGAAAGGAAAAGACAACAGCTGGCTTTCTGTCACTTTCTGAAACCATGCTGGAGAGGTGTTTCTCTACAGCAGAAGAATTTGGCTTCCAAGGAAGTCTGGAAGTCAGAAATTGCTCTAGACTGCTGAGCCTCCTTTCAACATAGAATCTCCAAATCCACGTATTTCTCTTAAAAGAAAAACTTCATTAAGAGCCAGAAGAGTGATTCTGCTTGACTATCACTTATGTTAGACATCAAACAAATCAAAACAGGTGACTGCTCAAAAAATAAGATTTCAGTTTCTTATCCCAATTCAAGCTGGCACAGCAGGGTACCCCATAATCCCAGTTACCTGGGAGGACAAGGTAAGAGAATCACAATTCAACACGATGCAAACTCAAAATAAATAAAATGAGCTGGGATATATATAGCTCTGTGGTACAGTGCTGGCCTAGCACACACCGGGACTTGCATTCAGTTCCCATTACCACCGAGGAGGGTTACACAGCTTAGTCCTGAGCTTCTACGAGACCTACCACTTTTCAGAAACCCCCAAACCATTTCTCCTGTCTGTAATTCAAGAAGAGACTTCAGGAAGTTGCAGTAACCTCCTAAAAGAAATTCTGACTACAGTGACTGGTTCTCCTTTTGAAGTCCCTAACTGCAAGAGGTTCCCTCCTCTTTTTCTTTCACTTTTGAAACTAGCAAGGGTTTGCCCTGAGATCTTACAAGTTTGGTCCTTCCCACCCATCCCTCCTAATTATCACAAACCCTTTTAAGATGGAGCATTCCCATCAAACTTCAAACCACAGCAGCCCAGCTGGACCTGCCATCCAACACCACCAGGACCAAGCAATCCTGCAAAACATAGAAGGCCAGCGGCATTTTATCTATGTACAGATGAAGACTTTCCTCCAGAAAAACTTAACCAAACCACAGGGCCACAAGTAGGTGGGCAGACAAAGGACGCCAGATCTCCTGAGTCCTGTCCAGTGCTCTAATTTTTGTACTTAGCAAATCACTTCTAAACCAGTACCTCTCCTTGGTTACTGCTGCTTACAATCTTTCTTCGAGCCTCTCCTCTGAAACGCTCTCCCAAGAGCTTTCTAGGATCTTTCCATAAGAGAGACTGATGCCTGGTGTTTTAGGGAAACTCCTACAGACATCACAAATACATCTGCTAAACTCACACTCGTAGAGCAGTATGAACATTCTCCTTCTTTGCTGGTCCTTAACGGCTTACCGAGAAATAATTCCTTCTCATAGCTTGCTTTGGGGTAAAGGAGAGAATGTGAATAAAAATAACTCTAAACATCATGGCCACTGTACACAAGAATAAAATGAAATCCTCCCAAGAAAGACAAAACACATGTACAGTATTGGGCTTTTTTCGGCCCATGGTTTTTCCCCATAACCTAGATTGAAACACTGTAGCTATATGCCCAAGATTTTAGCAAGACAATTTACTAGGCTAGATTTGGGGATCCCATGTACACGTTTACACCCCACAAACACATTAAGACTATCCAACTATCTAAAAATCTGTGCAAGGGCTTAAAAAACAAAACCCATTAACGAGGTCAGCTGAGTCCTTTTCACTGGACACAGCGGGGACTGGAAAGTAAAGAACGTTTTCAAAGGCGCGTTGGGGCGCAGCTTGTACAAAGGGCACGCAGCATTTTCATTTTAAATCCATCCACCAGGCCGGTGGGCCCGGCCCACTCGGAGGCCCAGCCTTCCCGGGCCCACCCCATCCCCGGGCTGGTTCTCCACGGTCGCGGCAGACCGGAAGGGGCGCGGGGAGCAAGCGGTGGGGCCCGGGCAGCTCCGCTTCCTCCGCGGCCGCGCGGCCTCCTCGAGCGCCCGGCTCCGTCCCCTCGGCCCCGCGGCCCGGCTCACCCTCCGCCTGCGGCCGCATCGCGCTCCTTGGTCGCCTCCCTCGCGGGCTCCTTCCGCTCCAGCCACCGGCCCCGGCGCTTCCGTCCGCAGTTTGAAAATGGCGCGGAGACGCGATCTGGGCCTTTACACCCGAGGCACCGCGGTTGCCCCGGTAACGGGAGCGGCGGGCCGGGCAGGACGCGCGCGCCCCGCGGCGAAGCCAGCGCTGGACGCGGGTGCCCGGAAACACGACGTCCGGACCTCGCGGGGCCACAGCGCCCCCTGGCGGCAGACGGCCGCGTCTAGCCATCCCGAGCCTGGGCTTGAGGATCGCACACCACCGCTGCGCCGGGGCCGGCGGAAGCGTCGCCTTCGCCTGCAGGGCAACCGCCTGCTCATCTAGCAGCCCCCAGCAGAGAGGTCGCGTGGTCCTTTCTGACTGCCACGCATACAGGAAGTGTTTAGCCCATAACCATCCATAGAATAAGATGCACCCATTAAAACAGGATTACAAAAACAAAAACAGCCCATCTCCCTGTCGCCCCCAGCGGTCAATTTTTAAGTCTAAAATGATTTTCCCCAACTATGTTTCCTTAGCACCTACCACAACACACATTTGTGGGTGGAATTAAACAGAAATAAACTGCATATAGAGGGAGCCTGTTTACGGGTGGAAAACACGCGCTCAAATTCTAGTCCTTTTCTCTCCTGAAAACTTTCTAGATGATTAGAAAGGACTTGATTCTTTCCTGCTTTGCTCTGTCTCCCGTCTAAGGCCAGCCTGGGTTACAACTTGAGCTCAAGGTCAGCCTGAATTGCAGAGCCAGACCCCGTCTCAATACAACAACAACGAAGACAGATTATGTACATGTTCCAACTCCCCACAATGAATGTAATCATTATGTACTACAAACATGTACTAATACTTTTTATAAAAAGAGACTTGCTTCGTGACTGGGAAGGGAGAGACCGATATAAAGAAACAAAGGAATAACCTTCAATGAGCTTGCAAACTGAAATGCCAAAATAATGGAGAAACCTAATGCTAGCAAAGAGAGCAAACAAAATAAACAACCAAAACATGAATTCTCGCCACATGAAATGAAGCCTTTAAGGCTACACCATGTTTCCAGTGATGTAAATCAAGGTTTCACAGCCTCAGCATTTGTGACATTTGGGCTGGACAATTCCTTTTTGGATAGATTCTGTCCTGCATCCTGTAGAACATTTAGCATCCTGCCTGGCTTCTATATGCCGGGTGTTGTGACAAACAGAATGTCTCCCATGTTGCCCAGTGCTTCCTGCTTGAGAAACACTGCTCTAGATGAGTGAAGGAATAACTGTCTTAAAAAATAAAAATTAAAATTAAGGGCCGGCCAAATAGCTCAGCAGATTAAAGCAGGGTCCAGGGGTTCAATCCCTGGGTCTTCTGTGCAGCCTCCGCCCCTGGTGCACAATGAGACAGCGATGGAGACTGGGCATTGTGGTGTCTGCCTGTAATCCCAGCTCTTGGGTGGCTGTAAACAGGGGGATCACTATGAGTCCGATCTAGCAGTGAGACCCTGAATACCCTGTATACCCTTCCCTAAAATACAAAATAAATAAATAAATAAAAATTAGTAAAGGAAACAAGAAGGGATAGGCATGTAAGGAAATCAATCAAAAAATTGGGATATTAAAAAGATAGTCATCAAAAATTTTAAAAATCATGTGAGATCAACCACATACAGTTATTATCTGGGATAAACTCTGGATTAGTTGAAAGAATTAGACAATTTGCATGAATCCCAGTGTAGACAAAAAATAAAATATATAAAAGCACAATTAAGAAATGCAGATAGTAACTTGATAAGCCCTAAAAATGGACAAAAGGGAACAGCATCTATGGCAGGCAAAATGGCCCCACCCTAATCAGTGGAACCTATGAACGGGTTACATCACAGGGCAAGAGGGACTTTGCAGATATAATTAAGGATGTCCTGGACCATAGAGATATGCCCGATTGATTCCAATGAACCCTTAAAGGCAGAGAAGCATGAGAAGAACTTGAAAAGAAGGGCTGTAGTGAGCAGGTTTGCTGTCTTGAAAATAGAAGGGGAAATGTGTTGAGAGCCCCTAACTGAATCTCAACCCCACAACTACAGCGAACTAAATTCCTTACAACCCGGATGAGTTTAAAAGCAGATTCTACCCTAGATTGCTGCATAAAAACCCAGGCTAGCAACTTACTTAGGCAGCAGAGCCCACCTGGACTTTTGATCTAATGGAATCTGTCTTGCACTAATCTACTAAGTTTGTGGTGATCTGTTATAGTACCAGGGCTTCAGGAGATAACAACTAAGAATGTTCCAGATTTGAATCAAGACACAAATCAGCTAAAAAAAAAATTGACCTTTCTAACTAAAGATGAAGGTTTAATGTATACACTATCTTGGGCTCCCTCTCTCCTCTACCTTCCTAAAATGACAGTAAAGGGATTTGTGAAGGACTATAAGAAAGGCATCAAAGATAATGGTAAAGGAGGCAATAGCAAAAGCAAAATAAGAAATAGCATCCTAAAGGAAGTGAGATGATAAGCTGGCCTTAAGGCAAATGTGACATGTTATCAAATGCATACTTTTAAACCCTAGAGCCACACTCTGAGTGGTTAGATGTTTACCCTTCCAGAGGTGCAGAGAAATCAAGATGTACTGAGTGATAGCTGAATCACTTCTTTCATGTCATTTTCACAAAGGAACACAAAAGAAAAATGTGGGCAAAGCTACCCAAATCATTCAAATTGTGTTTGTGTTTTTCCTTTCTTCTTATTTCTGTGTTTCTTATCTGAGACCATTTTATTGCATTTATGTAAGTAAAGAGTCTTGTGTGAGGAAATTCCATTATGTCTTGTTCTGGATTGAATTGTGTCTTTCTTGAAATTTGAATTTTGTATATCTGACTCCCAGTATCTACAAATTAGCCTCATGAGGAAATAGAGTCATTGTAGATTTAATTAAGATGAGGTCTTACTGAAGAGGATCGGGCCCATAATCCAGTATGAACAGAGTTCTTATAAAAAAAAACACCATGTGAAGAAAATAAGACCTGTGCAGGGGGAAGATGATGGGAAGACACAGGAAAGTACTGTCTATAGAGAATGTCAGAGATCTCAGCAGCCCACAGAAGCCAGGAGAGAAGTGTGGAACAGGTTGTTCCCCACAATCTTCTGCCTGCTGGCACCCTGACTCTAGGTGTCTGGACTCCAGAGCTGTGAGACAATACGTTGTGTTGGTTAAACCATGCAACTTGTGCTACTTTGTTACAGATGCCCTATTGTGGCCAGTAATCCTGCCTGGACCTCCTTGCGTTCAGGAACACACAGCAGCTTAGCAGAGCACACTCCTTGGTGCGTCTGGGCGAGGTATGGAAGTGTGAGCATGGGCACTAGAGCAGCCCAGTGGCCATTCCTCTCTGGCACAGTCCCCTGCTCTGCTTTTCAGAACTGAGCAGTTCTGTTCCTTCACCCCGTGATGCCTTGTAGCCAGACAATCAGCTACTGAAAATGCAAACCAAATGAAACCTTTCTTCCTCCAGGCTGTGGGTGTCAGTTATTGTGTCTCAGTGTTGAGAAAGCTCATACACCTATCAAACCAATGCATATGTGTTTAAGAACCAGTTGCTAACGCAGACCAGGTATCACAGAATTCAGGAAAAGAAAAAAATCCTTTACTGACTAGAGTTAGTTCTCAAAGTTTATGGAGCAGATGGGACTTAGACCCTGAAATAACTAGAATGTGGAGAAATAAAGATGAATAGAGAGATTTGGGGAGGAGAGAAGAAAAGGAGAGGGAATGATACGATGGGAACGGTGTTGACGGACAAATGTTTCCTTCAGTAAGTAATGCAGCACTCAGGTGGTGATGGGGACAAGCACAGTGGTATAGACAACCAGCGGCACATGAGAAATGAAGTCAGGCTGCAGCTGGGGTGCAGTGGTAGCGCACTTGTAACATAGGGGCGAGGCCCAGGGTTCACTTCCCAGACCACAAGATGTGAAAAATGCAATCGGATTGCTAAAGAGCTCACAGAATACTAGATTTCAGGGCTTTACTTGTATCTAATAGGTAGTGGAGAACTGTTGAATGTTTTTAAACTGAACAATCACTTGATGAAATTAGTAGGGAGGAACTGATTTGCGCAATAAAAGGATGGATGGAGAACAGTGAGCATTTCAGGAAAACAGTGTCTTCAAGGATAAAGTTAGACGATTATCCTCCACAATAACTTGGCCACAAAAGACACTCAAGCAGTATAAACGGCCAGATGTTATAAGAAACTATTGTTTAGCAGCAGACCCTGGAAGACTATTCTCAGGAAGGGGTCACTTGTAAAAAGCACAATGCTGAAGCAGTTTGATGACAAAGCAGTTTTGTTTTGCATTTACAAAGCATTCAGATATTTCTTTTCCTAATGCTGGTGTAAGGAATTACATCTTTGTTTTTTTTTTAATCACCTTTTGGAAGTAGAGGTAAGAGTAGAGAATGAAAAACTCGGTAAATACTTCTACAACAAAACAACAAATCTACATGTCGAAAGTTCTATACTAAAACACAAAGAATAAACCAGGAAAATACTTACAATGGACACCAAAGCCTTAAAGAGTGAAGAACTCTTGTAAACTGACAAGTGAAATGCTTAGTAAGATATTAGAAAAATAATTTGAATAATAGCAAAAACACAAAAATGCAATCTTTGAAATGTCTCTTAACCGTTTCAAGAGACTCAAGCACTGACAATAAGAAGGATGTGGGGCCGGCCAAATAGCTCAGTGGATTAAAGCACCTGCATAGGCAGACACAGGGGCCCGGACTTCCATCCCCTGCCCTACCTTGTCTGCCCCGCCCCCGGGGCACGCTGAGACTGCCGTTGGGACTGGGCTTGGTGGCGTGCACTTGGGAGGCTATAAACAGGAGGATCGCTATGAGTCTGATCTAAAAGGAGAAGCATGTAATGAAAACTGAGACAGGGAGGGGGAATAGGCAGACAAGTGAAAGAAAGATGGACTTATGAATAATAAGTTATAACTTCATAGTACTGCTTTCTAGGTTCTGTTCTGAGAGATGTTTTTCATTGTGTACGTTTCACAGAAATTTCATGTTACCACCATAGTAG